GAGAGATATCACTCGTGTATATATATATATATATATATATATATATATATATATATATATATATATATATATATAGAAGTGAAACTGACCTGTTCTCTTCTGAGCTTTCTACTGTTCTCCTGCATTTAAGCATCCATGGGGCCGTCTCTGGTTTCCAGTGTTTTCCACTGACTGGCTAAAGTGTCCATTTCAGCACCTTGCACAGAGTAAACAGGTGTGAATAAAACTCTCAATGCTGCATTAAATAACAGCATGTGATAAAAAGGGAGAGTATTAACATGAATGTCATTCAGACCAGTATAGAGCTCATCTCGCTGTGGTGAGATCAGAATAGAAAAGTGAAAATCAAAAGTTAATGTTTGAGATTATTTAAATGATTTTCTTTTTCTAAAATGTGGTAATTTAACTATAAATAAAATCCAGATGGGTAGGATAAGACATTTGCATTTTTTTATGACAGAATTTAATTATCATCAAAGCTCAACATGTAAAATATTTTTTGCAAATAATGAGATCATCAAATAACAATGGCAAAAACTTTTGTGGTACTTACGTGACAATTGGAGAATGTTATATATATATATATATATATATATATTAACATTTTATTTTTTTTATATATATTTTTTATAAATAATATTTATGTATGAGAAAATACTATGCAAATATAATAACATTTAAAGATTATTTAACTTTTTTTTCTTTAAAAAGGGGAAAAAATGGTCAGATTAATCGGAAATTGACAATTGTTGAGTCTGTTCACAGACAGATTCATTTCATCAGTTGCTCAAGGCTCTTTATCTGTTGCCTTAGGTGTCTGTTTTAATATAGAAACCAAGTACCAGAGGCTGATATCTAATCAAAGCCGAACTTTCAATATTGATCCAACCTTAGATCAACGTTCTCTCTTTTCTGAAAAATTATCTTGAACTTTTATTCGATGAATCTTCTGTAAGACTCCTGTAGATCTGATTAACCGGCTTCATAGTCCTAGTGCTTGGATTCAGCACAATTCATGCAAAATTTTATGCATGAGCTGTATAGAAGTGATCATACAGAAGTTATGTCAAACATACTCTCACCCGGTTCAACTTGCTTAAGTGGATTTGCGTTTCTGTTTCTGTCTGCAGAAGCCAACGCTATTTTACCTTGAGTATTCTCACGGCTCACTTTGATAAATGAATAAACCCATATTCAAACCCTCTGCCTGTTTCTCTTTTTTTCTTGTGCCGTCTCTTTCTCTCACAGGTGCTTTGAATGTTTATTTTATGAAAATGAAAAAAAGGAAATGGGGGAAACTCTTGCGTTTTAGCTGTTTTACTCAGTATTTTTTGCCACTGTATTACTTCTTCCCTAGGATGTCGTGGCTTTTTAGTCAAGATGTTTTTGTCAGCGAGCTTCTGTTTGACAACTCCCTCATCTCTCTGTCTTTCTTATTCTCTCTCTCCCCGTCTCTCTTTCTGCCACTCTCCCAAACGAAACGGAACAAAGCAACTCTGTACCCCATCTAACCCCCCTTAAAAAAAAAAGATAAAGTTCTGCAGAAAATATTTTTCAATATTGTATGAGACTGGATGCCTCAGAAGAGCTGATTTTCCTTCCTGTGGTTCCTGGGTAAGTAATGGAGAAGTCTTGTTAGGCAGAACTAAACATTTCCAGTGAATAATTCAGATGGAGCTGGATGTGAAAGCTTCATGAGTTTTTTTTTTTCGGCAAATAGGCTTCTGGTAATGATTGATTTGAGATTCATGATTTTTAGAGGCATTAATGGTAGACTGTTTGTCTCATGCTCTGGGTGGACATGGGTATGACAGTGTTGAGTATGAGTAAGGACACACTATAAAACAGAAGACCATCACTCTTAATACGTTTAAAAATTCTCACAATTTCTTGTTTTCTGTCATGTTGGTGCATTTTTTTCCTGTCTGTAGGTCTATAGAGACTCACAGTTTCTTGTTTTCCGTCATGTTGGTTCATACTTTCCGACTCTTCGCAAAATTCAGTTTTCACACAGACATATCAACAAACAACATGAAGGAAAGGCTTGTGGTCATTTTGCACTGATTTGCACAGAACAGTTAAAAAACGTAGAGAAAAAAACTTGGAGATGATGTGGGCGACATTTATTTTATTTAGTATTTTATTTTTATTTTTGGACTAGTTTAGTTTAGTTTTGTTTTGGGGCTCCTGCTTCTAACAGTTTTGTTCTTTTGCTACCTTTCACAATTTTATTGCTCAGTACAGCATGCAAACATGGCGTTCAGGCATGCAAAATTGTAATTTTTTTGTTTGAAATTTGTCATAGTGTTTGTTACAGCATGCCTTCCAGTGAGATACTTCATATGCATTTCAGTAACTGTCTGCTTTAATTTGGCTACCAAATTGGACAAAAGAAAGATACATTTGGCTGTCAGAGGATTATTGGTGCACCCAGCCCATCCTTCAGGTCTTTTACACTTCCAGATTTCAGAAATGGGTAGGAAAAATAATTTTGGACTCTCTTTTAGCATTTAGAATAGTAACTTCAGACTGAGCACCAGAACATCCAGCCACAAGAGCAGCCTCTTCCCACAGACCATATTTCTCATGAGCAGCTAACACCGTCAAATCTTCAGTGCAATATTTCAGAGACATTGTGCATTTTTACTTGCAGTATGTAAATTTAAAGTCACAAATTCAAACTTGAAGACAAGAACACGCTGCAATGTGCAGTATTGTATTAATTTGGATTGTGTCTTCTTTCTCTCTCAGGTATGGCAGTGCTGAGTCTGAGTTTGCAGCATTTCATAGCGGGTCTCATCACCACTCTGACGTTCACCACAATGATGAACTGCACACAGAGAGCCGAGGAGAGCATACAGGTATCACACGTTACCCTCTTCAACTGACCGCAGCTCTTCACGCTTCCTGAAGGATCAGAGCAAACTGCTTAACGGCATCACACGTGTTCACCTAAGGTCAAAAGCGTGACAAATTTATTGTGATTCTCTTCAGTTTCAACAGTCAAACTCTGAAGACAATAAAACGTGCATCTTACAGTTTTTGATAGTTGTTGACAGGTAGAGTCTCACAACAGGTCGTGAGCTGCAGAAAGCCTGAGAGTGTTTCCTGTCTGCCACATACGTGAGCACATCACAGCAGTCAAAAGCTCATTTATCTGTCAGTCAATAGCTCCACTCAGAGAACTGAGCAGTTTTCACACTCTCTTTAGCTCTACACGTCAACCCATTTCAACTCATCAATCACCTACAAAGCATATGCATCGGAAAGTATATTCACATTCATAGATTTTACTTTTTTTATTTTAATCTTTTTTTTTGTTGTTGTTGTTGTCAAGATTATATCTTTGGTTGTAGAAGTAGCCCAGTGGTTAGTTCACGAAGTATATTCACATTCATAGATTTTACTTTTTTTATTTTAATCTTTTTTTGTTGTTGTTGTTGTTGTCAAGATTATATCTTTGGTTGTAGAAGTAGCCCAGTGGTTAGTTCACATGCTCTGACACATTAAATTATGGTGCTCATGTGGGCAATGCAAGTTTAAGACTGATTTGTGTTATTTCCCGACCCTGTTCCCAAATCTTCTACATTTTCAGTACTTCTACATGTCAATCTACTTCTCAAGAAGGTCTCAACAGTAACAACTTTCACTGTTTCAGTATAACACTACCGTTCGTAAGTTTGTTGTTGTTAAGATTTATTTTAAAAATATCTAAAAGAGGTTTCTTATGCTCACCAAGGCTGCATTTATTTGATCTAAAGTGCAGTAAAACAGTAATATTGTGAAATATTATTTACAATTTAAAATAACTATTTTCTATTGTTATATATTTTAAATTTGAGATTACTCCAAGAGTCACGTGATCCTTCAGCCTTCAGAAATTCTAATGTGTAGATATGATGCTCAAGGGACATTTCTTCTTATTTTCAATATTGAAAACAGTTGTGCTGCTTAATATTTTTGTGGAAACAGTCAGACTTTTCCCCAGGATTTTTAAAAAACAGAAAGTAAAAATAAAAAAGAAGAGTAGGGGAGTGCGGGGCACAAAGGGTTAGTTGTAACACGCGTGGTTTGAATATTTCCACATATGCTAGCATTGTATATGCATAGCAATTTAAGTATTTATTAGTTACCATATCAACATTATATAGAAAAAAAAAGTTCGCCAAATTTCAAAAATCTTTTGAAGATATTGCTGAACATTTATTTTACCATAGTAAAATTTTAATTCTTGCTTAAGTACATTTTTCATCTCAGTTTTTATTATTCATTTAAAATTAAACAAATCTGCTATTATTTTAATCTCCAATCTGTTATTTATCAGTTCAGATGGTTTTTTTAATGCTTTGATAACTAGCAGAAGACACTAACCAGTTTTAAATTCCAGTTGCGCAGATAGGGCACGTTGTAACACTGTGTTACAATGCGCTATTCTATGACATTAGCAATGTAATTTACACTATTTACTTGAATTTTAATGAGAAACACAGGTGAATAAAAACTGACAGTTTTTGAAATTATTATTTCAAGACATGTAAAGCATTTTTGCTCGTTTATGTGGGCCGTCCCAAGCATGGATGCAGTGTGTTCATTGTCAAATTCCAAAATCAGATTATTTTTAATTCTTAAAAAACGCCATTATTTTATTTGAAAAAAATAATTATTTTAGTTTGTCTTGTATATTTTTTTCATTAGATCAGATAATATTTTAAGCTGTCATATAGTCATGTTACAACGTGCCCCTCAGATGTTACAATGTACCCCACAGAGGACGCAGTGTCTCGTTCCCCTCAGGGAACCATGGTTACATAAGTAACCCGAGACGTTATTTAGGAATCCTTAAAAATAAAAAAAATAAAAAAGTTTTTAATATTTACAATAATATCTGAGAATTATACAACTGTTTATACAGATACAGTGTTTATGACTTCCATGCTGAAAATCTACTGTATAAACAAAGATGACTTACAGTGCAAATGTTTGAAGTAGCCTAATGTAGCTTGTGTTTTGTAAGTGCATGGGAATAAAGCAGCAGATGCATTTTGCATTTATGCTTCTTGTAATGTATATAGTTTGCGAAACAAACCTTATGCAAGGTGCATTAGGTGTGTATCTTACGTCAGCTGCTGCTTCTGTGTCACTTTTACAGTGTAAAGACATCTTATCTGTCTATCATTAAACAGTCCATCCATACCAGCTCTATTCTTCTCAACAATCAGCTCCCTATTTTGTCCCACTAATCTTGTGTTGCCTAATTTCTCTCCTTGTTTGTTCATTTGTTCATTCATTCTATTTGTTTATTTACCTGTCCCCTAGATGATAAACTGTAGTTCTCACTGTTCATAGATATCTCTCCCCTCCCATGTTCTCTCGTTTCATCCCCTCGTTCATCTTTGACATGATTGTATTGTCCTGCTTAAATGGGCCTGCGCTGCTTGCATGTGATCTTTCACTGCTCTCCCAGCTATTTGTCACTCCATCAGCTCAATACATGCTGAATTAATGGCGCTAACGAAACTCATTAAACAATAAGAGAAGTGTATGTTTTCCCTCGGTCTCTAAGCAATTAAAAACTTCAGATTCACATTCTGAGGAAAATAACCAGGAGGAGGATTGTAAACTGTAGGTTAAATCAAATGTTCATATGACATATATAACGTAGCGAGAGCAGCTTGTGTGTGTGTTTGTGTGTGTTTGTTTTAAGGTGGTTTTAGCCGACCGAAAACCAATACTGTGAATGTTGTGAAAAGGCCCTGGAGGGAGAAACTGAACACCTTAAACAAGTTTGTAGGAATAAAGGTACTTCACTTTACTTTAGTGCTGGGGCCATGTGAAGGAATGGACTTGGCTTTGCTTTCCCAACTTGTGTGCTAAGAGTATGGAGACAGTCTCTGGCGTCCAGACAAGAGAGAGCGATTCCGACTGCTCTTTGATCCTCCTGTTGGAATTGTTTTGATGTGAGGCAAAGTTAAAAATTGATAAATAAGAATCATGTTAAAAAGTCATCAGTTGCTTTGAAAAGTAACACATGTGAAAGGTCAAAAGCAAACATTTCAGTTGTATGCATGCTCACGTCACTTATGGCATCAACCTGAGTTAGATTTATTTTCTGATCCTATGTTCTTCTCTCTATTGTTTCCTTTACTATCTCTAATTGTTCTGTCCTATGAAGACAAAAAGGGCAATGATATTTAAATTAGGGAAGCACAGTGTATATTGGTTATCGGACAATATTAGAGAAATTTGTAGCTTGTAATTTTGTATGTTTATTTGAATTTGATTTGCATATTTTATTGTGCTTGATCATTTCCCCTATTTTTATATCCTCTAATGCTTACTTAAAGTTCATGTATTTGTATTTAGCTTTGATATATTTCATTTATAATTCTAAATAATTACATTTTAGTTTACGTTAAGTTACTAAGGCATTATTTTTACATTTCGAAGTTTTTCATCAAATTGTTTTATTTTTTTTTCAGTCAGTGAAAAAGATTTATAAGAGTTTTTAGTTTAAGTTTAACAAAACGTAACATTATTATGTTGTGATGTCTACATTTGCTTGCATTATTTAACGTGAATGATTTTTTAAAACGTTTTCTTTTTAAATTATTTAAGCAAAATACTATGGAATTGTAATATGAGTTGAGTTCTTTATCAGCCATAGCATGAAAAATATTGGGGTTTTGGGCAGATTTTTAAAAAGAGTGCATCCTAATATAAAGATCACTAGCATAATTAAACGCAGAACCTTTGCGGGATTTGAAAATATTTCATAATTCAGTGAATGAATGGCTTGTTTCACACACGGATAACATCTGAATCTAGCCTAACAGCAAAACACATTTCTTTATTATTAAAAGTAAATTAAAATTTCTTTATAATTTACTGTCCCTTTTTCATTGTTCTTGAGAAAATCCCACATATTGTCAAAAGTTAATGCTAAACGACTTTTTGTATTTCCCTCTCTCTGTCTCTCTGTCTATGTTCAGGCCACCCACTACAGTTTTCTGGCCACACTGGAGGTCCTTGGGAAACTGAGTTTTAGTGCCCTGGCTGGAGGTATGGTGGACACTGTGGGCTTTCCCATAGCCTTCATCATCTTCCTCTTCCTCACCTCCAGCAGTGCCCTGCATGTGTGGAGAGCCACAGAGACTGGCGTCCTGAAGGAGCAACTCAAAGAGCAGCCACAGTGAGCAGAGTTAGCCTATGAGAGAGTGTATGTCTAGGTGAGAAAGAGGGAAGTCGAATCTTATGTTTCACATAAGATACTGGTGACCAAATAGCCAGTGAAATGAATATGTTGTTTTTATTTGTATTTATTTATAACTCCACCAGCACTGATGTGACAAGAGCCACACAAGCACTCTCACTGAAAGCCAGTACCTCTTAACAGCTACATTGCACCTCTACAGTAAACTAGCTTTAAAGGTACTTGCTTTTCAACAACAAGTCATCCTGAATGGCAAGCGGACTGAGCTATGGCAACACTGTGCACATGTCATCTAGTCTGCCTGAAGGACAGCAGTTAATCATTTAAACAGCAAAATGTGGTTAATCTATTACGTTTGATATAACGGACAATGACAACTGTATTCTATACAATTTTACTGGTTATAAAAGATCTATATCAGGGTCTAGTCAAGTTTGGTTTAGGTAATCACCCTAGTCATTTACACATTTCATTATATACAGCATGCATTCACATGCCTTAGAAATGCCTTTAGTTTTTAATCTGATGCCCTCTGACACCTTAGATACAATTCCATCAGCTTATTGACCAATCAGCAACACACTGGGAGCAGTATGAACATTGAATTATGGTACTATGCTTAGTGGAGTGCATTTTTGTATTCTCAATGCAATACTTAAATTAAAGGGGTCATATCATTGAATATTCATATTGCGTTAAATATAAGTTAAATGTATGATGAAAAAGCAATACCTTTTTACAGTATTATACATCGACTCCTATTTGGTGTTCAGTGACTTGATCCAAAAATATTGCTTAACTCCAAAAGAATCAATGAAAAGAGTGAAATTAGTTAAAAACATTGTGCTGTTCCTGGTTGTGGAGCACCTGAAAATCCTTATCCTTCCTAGGATTATTAGGAAATGTTAGGGAAAATTGGCCCAGCAGCAAATGTGATATCAAGATGGTGTATGACCGTCTTAAAGGCACAGCAGCAAAAATCAAGGGCCGAAAATGGTCATGACAAACTTAATTAGGACTGTTTCGATGAAGTGGACCTCAGGGAAAAAATGATTTGAAAAAGTATATGACATGACCCCTTTAATGATTTTAAATACTGTACATTGCAACAGTTAAACTCATCAAGCTCATTTTTTTGAGCCGATACATGATTGTTTGAAATGTTTATGTTTTTGTATGAGTTGTCTGCATTTCCTATGCAATAACACAAAATTGTTCATGGTTATAACATACAACTTTGCTTCTCGCACATGAAAAAAACCTTTAAATCGCCTTATTATTATTTTAAAGATTTACTGCAAAGCCAAAACATGTGGAGCTATTGTTGAGACTATGTAGGCATACGTGTGGGATTCAGTTTTGGAGGGGATGTCAATTTCAGTTGCAAAAAAAAATAATCAAATGAAACTGCAGCTATACATGTATATAGCGCAGTTACAGTACATGTTTTCCATTCCTGTTGAAAGCAGAACAATATTTAAATATAATACACTATAGTATAGTACAATAGTATAGTCTATCTAATCTTCTTCTTTTTTTGTATTTGTTTTCTTGGAGAAACGGAAACGGACAGTCTCAATTAAATGCTACATTTTAAAAATGGTTACAAGCTCATAACACTTTATGAAAAAAGTGGAAAAGCTGTGGGCAATTGATGGTTATTTTGTCATTAAATCCTCTGATAAGCAAAGCCCTTACCAAACAAGCCATATTTGTCATTTTAGCTTGGACTAAAGGAGACTCAAAAATAAAAGGTATTACTGAACCCAGAGTGTCTGCGCTTTTATGAGTTTATCAGACAAGAATTCAAAGCCATTAGTCTGTGTTATTAAGAGATTCTGGGCCATACCACTTACCCTTAGTCTTTAGAAAATCCAATATTGTCTTGTGTACATTTATGTTTTATTCACAGATCTCTAGATCTAACAACTCAAGTATTTCCCCCAGATGGAGCCTGGAGACTTTCCCCATAAGATGACACAATAGCTGTAGAAGCGTATGCTGTTAATGGGATTGAACTGTATCCGCAGCTTATACCATGACACCGTATACTCTCCCTCCCCATGACAGAGAAATGATTCTTCCCGATCTGTCAGAGGGATTAGGAATCCTTACGTAATTCATGAATAGACCTGCACTTCACCCTTTCACTGTGACATTATTTCCTGGGTGGTTTAGCCGGAGAGAAAACAAGGAAGAAAGGAAGGGAACGTCTTCTTCACACTCCACTTTCACAAAACCACAAGAGACCAAAAACTGGTTAAACCGAGAGTGTGTATGTTTCAAATACGAGCTACAGTGGGTTTTTGCAGAGTCGTCAAAAGTAGATTCAGAAATATAGATTTAAGTATACATTTTCATAAGATGTAGTTTATAGTTTCTTCAGTTCTGAGCCAGATACGGGCTGCTCTTTGCTACAGTATGAAGTACATTGTGACGGAACATCTGGGCCCACAAATTAGATAGATAGATGGATAGACAGATAGATGGATGAATGGATAGACGGATAGATAGATAGACGGATAGATGGATGGATGAATGTAATGCACATTTAGAACACTATACTTTGTGTTATATTAGATGGATGGATGGATAGATAGATGGATAGCTAGATAGACGGATAGATGGATGGATGAATGTAATGCACATTTAGAACACTATACTTTGTGTTATATTAGATGGATGGATGGATAGATAGATGGATAGCTAGATAGACGGATAGATGGATGGATGAATGTAATGCACATTTAGAACACTATAGGCCTACTTTGTGTTATATTACCGTGGCATTAAATTACAGAAATATCGTTAATGCTGCTGTGTGAGTTTTTCTAATACAATGGCTGAGGGAGTGACAGCTAACTTAGTGTCTTTGTTTCCTTTGGCCAATGTAATCTCTTGATATTTTTTCCCTCTTTTGTAAAGTCATAGAATGCTATCATTCATGGCTATTTTGCAAAAATACTGTTTTTTTTTTGTTGTTTTTGCTATATGCTAAAAAAAAGTTGTTGTAGTTTCCATTCACCACTAATGAAGTTTGCCCAAACTACAACCACTTCTGCTTCTGAGAACCCTATAAATGTGAAAAGGGTCCATTCTGAGAAAATACTTGTGAAAATAGATGTAAAATGTCTGCTGAATCCTTCTGTACCTGATTATGGTCAGAATTTCAGTTTGAACAAAAAGAAGTATCAATTATTTCACTGAATACTGCTTACTGTTTCTTTAGCTGTTATCTGCATACAGATAGTTTTTTTTGCTGTTTTCTCCTTAGACCACAGTCAAATAGCCAATTAACCTCCAGTTAGCTTTGAGCATGAAATGCGGCCATGATTCACGTCTACAGACAGCTTAATGTGGCTATCAACTGTTTAGTAAATTGACTTGTCTTACCTAATAGCAACAAACAATAGGTATGACATGAAACAGACCTCAAGTTGTTTCTTGTGCTTTTCCCAGGCATTGAGTTTCCATTTTCTGGGAGCAGAAAGAAGCATTAGAGCCTCAGGTCTTTGGGAAATAAGCTGAGAAGAGAAGAAAGGACACAGTGTAGAGTGAGAAGTAAAGGGACAGTTTGTCTCGTGGTGTCGATTGGAGACAGACCCCCGACTGGGTCTGAGAAATTGGGAGGAGTTGTCCAGCTGAGTGAGTGAGTCCAGAGACCATTCTGCGGCTTTCTGTTTCAGCCTGTCTTTGCATGTCTCATCCAAACCTTGCACAGTATTTTTTTAAACTTGAAACATGACCCTTCTAGATCCATACATTATCCATATATACTATATATTAGTGCTGTCAAATGATTAATCGCATCCAAAATAAACGTTTTTGTTTACATTATATATGTATGTGTACTGTGTATATTTATTATGTATATATAAATACACATATACGGTATATATTTTGAAAATATTTGCATGTATATACATTTATATTTTATATATTTATATTCTGATATTTTATATTATATATAAATATATTTAATATATAAACATAACATATTTTTCTTAAATATATACATGCATGTGTTTGTATTTATATGTACATAATAAATATACACATATTATTTAAACAAAAACGCTTTTATTTTGGATGTGATTAATCGTTTGACAGCACATATATATATATATATATATAATTTAATATAATTTTTTTCAGTTAATAATTTTGTTTCAAATTTTTACTTTTTTAAACATGTATTTTAGTTAACTATACTAACGCTGCTTGTGACTTAAGATGTGCTAAATTAAAATGCCATTATCATTTACTCACCCTCATGTCTTTCCACACCTGTGAGACATTTTTTCTTCTGTGGAAAACAAAAGATTGATTGATTGATTCATTCATTCATTCATTCTCACAGGGTTTTTGTCCACACTATGAAAGTCAGTGAGGTCCAATGTTGTTTGAACCCCACTGACTTTTAAAATACCTTCTGTGTACAGGTTTGGAACACCATGAGGGTGAGCAAATATTGACAGAATTGTATTTTTGGGTGAACGGTTCCTTTAACAGTCTCGTTACAGCTGAGCTTCTTCTAAGTTAACTCTAACTAACCATACAGTCACAAACTGACCAGCCCTCTCCCCCAGTGATGTGCTTAGTCCCTATATTAAAAACCAGCCAACTAGCAACCTCATCATGCGTGTGATAAAGTTTCCTTTGTGAGACAAGAGCTGATATTGCAACATGTTTTAATATCGACTAACAAAAGTGTTTTGTGGAGCCCCCAAAGGGAAGAGGTGTTGGCTTTTTCAGCGCAGCTTTTTATGGGCAGGCCGGCAGAATGCGCTGGTGGCTCTTTGTCTGCCAGGGAAACCCTAGCCGGGAGGTGCGGACTGAGCGCAGAGCGGCGGCATCGGATAACCAAGCATTTCCTCTCCTGCTATTTACCGGCCTTTTGTTTGTTTGCCGAATGCGAAATATATACATGTTGCCAGATCAGATCTGCTTTCCACACATTGCCCTCTCTCTTTGTTTCATTTTTTATTCATCCTCCTCCTCCTCTTCTCCTCCTCTTTCTCCTCTGCCTTTGCAAACTCTTCACGTGCTGTCAAAAGTCTGTGCGCATGTTCTGGAATATTTCTGACTGAATTTGATAACCCCTCTCAGAACTGTTCAGATATCATTTACATAATGCGGTCTATTATTTAGGAGGTAGAACACTTGCATTTGTGTGCCAACATTGTAGAAAAGGTGTTGTTATTTGTTTGTGATGAAGAGAGATGGGTAAGCTTGAGATGACCTAAAGGTCATGTTGTCGCTGTTCAGTACATGAGACAGATCAGCTGTACTGAATTCCCAAAATATTTCTTCACTGCTAACAGAATGATACAGTACAGCGTGGTCCAAAAGCCTGAGAATTAAGTGAAAAACTGCACTATGTTCGCTATGTAGCTTGCTCATTTTACTAGAAAAATCTTCAGTGACTTAAACAGATTGGTTTGGTACACCAGTTACAATCATTTCACCGTCTCAGACTGTTGTTTCCTTGAAATGGTTTGTCATTTGTATATATCCGATATTTCAAATTATCCTTCAAAAGTGGTTTAAATATGTATGTGCTTAAAAAGATGAAATAATCACTTCAGACTCATCTTATTTCCCTGGTAAAAGGAGAGATTTTTTTGTTCCCACACAATAATCACATTCAGCTATTTTTACCAACCTGACTTTAATCTGCATAAATATTTATAGGAAAGACAAGGGAAATACATGCATAAAGACTCAGTCTGTCAACCAGGGTTGTGCTCCATTCAAAACTGAGTTCATGAATTTGAATTGAGATATCAAAAAAATGTGGAACAGCTATTTGAATGTTAATATATTAACCTTGAAATATAATTAAAATGAACTGAAATTCATACTAATGTATATAACTATAATTTTAACTGAAAGTGCAAAGTTGGTCTAGACAAACGATGAATCTTGACTTTAAGGTTTATAAGAAGGATGGATGGACAGTTTCAGAAGCTTCATTTATTGTAAGAGAAGATAATGTCAATGATGATGAATATTGCTATAACAAGCATTTTCGAGAGCATGTAACTGATTATCATTGGCCTGATGACGGCGCTTGGTGTGGACAAGGAATGCTGGTCAATTCTGTTGTGTTTATTGCACTTGTGCTGGTAACGTGAAGGGGCTGCAGAAGCAGGTCTGATCTGATGTGTAGGATAATGGGAATGTGTCTGTGTCTGCGTTTGTGTGATGGCTTGGGTTGTGACAAGCTGCCAGCTCATATGGCGTTGAAGCAGAGTCACCACCGCCTCACCCCTGGCTTCACTCCACTGCTCTCCCCTCCACCTCGTTTGGGCCATTACGGCGGTGGCAGCAGAAGCCCGCAGACCTCTCTCGTCCCCATCTCACCCCCCTCTCATTCCCCCTCACTGCTCCCACTTTTCATCCCCTCCCTTCCTCCCTCCCTCCCTCTACCATGTCCTGTCCCTAAATCACAGCGTTTCTCACTTACCCCTGCCTCCCGGTGACATCACTGCGCATTCTTTGCTCAGAGTGTGGAGCGGGGATGTTCATCAGACCACGGCAGCGTGATTCAAAATACTATTTCTTTTTGCTTCGTCAGGCCGGCCATTGTGGCATTGCTGCTCGGTAAATGACAGGCCAAAGGGTGCTTTTCAATAGTGTGTTCATTAAAAGTAACTGCTGCAAACTAGATGTGACATTTAACAGAAATTTGAGAGATTTAATTGTTGTTAATATTTATTTTATTTTATTTTCTTCGTTTATAGTGAATAGGTACTGAAGCT